AACACATCAGGATTTCCCTCCATTTTTTTTTTTTTTGGCAGTACAGGGGTGCTTTACAACTGAGCTACATACCCAGCCTTTTTATTTTTTATTCTGAGACAAAGCTCTCTAAGTTGTTGAGGCTGGCCTTGAGCTTGCAATCCTTCTGCTTCAGCCTCCACAGTAGCTAGGCAAAGTGGTTGATTAGAGCTTGGGCGGGGAACAGGCAAGATCAGTGTGGAGCATCTATGGCAACAAGGTCGGAAGTGTGCCAAGAAGGTAAGGGTCTGGGGAGAGGGTTCACCTGGAAGAAGCCCGTAGATCAAAGCTGGAAAAATAGGAACAACAAAATAAATAACAACAGGATAAAAGAAATAGCTGATAGCCACACTGATAACGAATGAGGGAGAGGAACAGCTCTTCTTAGAGAATAATTCTAATTAAGTAATATAGAACTAAGGCCAGCAGTTGGGAATATAGCTTAGTGATAGGGTACTCTCCCAGTGTGCATGAGGTCTTGGGTTTGAACCCCAGCCCCCCAAAAGCCCCAAAGTAAATAAATGGGGAGATTACATTGCCTTGGATGGACCAATTTAATGATTAAGAAATCAACTCTCCTGGGGTTGTGGCTCAGTGGTAGAGCACTTGCCTAGCATGCATGAGGCACTGGGTTCAGTCCTCAGCACCACATAAATATAAAATAAAGATATTGTGTTCACCTAAAACTAAAAAATAATTTTTTTTTTAAAAAGAAACCAACTCTCACAAAATTAGTAAACTAACGGAGTATAATCTCAATAAAAATTCCAATTGCTTTTAAATTTTTTGAGATGAAATTCACATTATATCAAATTCAATTTTGTGATTTTATTTTATTTTTCTTATATATATATATTTTTTAGTTTTTGATGGACCTTGATTTTATTTATTTATATGTGGTGCTGAGAATCGAACCCAGTGCCTCACACATGCCAGGCAAGCGCTCTACCACTGAGCTACAGCCCCCGCCCCTCAATTTTGTCATTTTAAAGTATACATTTTGGTTTTTAGTAGTCACAAAGTCACACAACTATCACCACAATCTTATCCAAAATGTTTCCATTTTCTCAATTCCTCTGTCCTCCCATCCAGTTGGAATCCTTTTTTTAAGAGAGGGTGGGGAGGGGCTGGGGATGTGGCTCAAGCRGTAGCGCGCTCGCMTGGCATGCGTGCGGCCCGGGTTCGATCCTCAGCACCACATACCAACAAAGATGTTGTGTCCGCCAAAAAATAAAAATAAATAAATATATATATATAAAAAAAAGAGAGGGTGGGGAATTGAATCCAGGGTGTTTAACCACTGAGGAATATCTACAATTCTTTTCATTTTTTATTTTGAGAAAGAGTCTCACTAAATTGCTTAGGGGTCTCACTAAGTTGCTGAGGCTGGCTTGGCATTTGTGATCCTTCAGCCAGGTATGGTGGCACACGACGGTAATCCTAGTGGCTTGGGAAGGATCCTGAGTTCAAAACCAGCCTCAGGAATTTAGTGAGACCCTAAGAAACTCAGAGAGACCCTGTCTCTAAATAAAGTATAAAAAAAGGGGGCTGGGATTGTGGCTCAGTGGCAGAGCACTTGCCGAATACATTTGAGGCACTGGGTTCCATACTCAGCACCACATGAAAATAAATAAAATGAAGGTATTGTGTCCATCTACAATTAAAAAAATTTTTTTTTAAATATAAAAAAGGGCTGGGGGTGTTGCTCAGTAGTTAAGCACCCATGGTTCAATCCCTAGTACCACTAACTAAATAAATAAGTAACTAAATAAATAAATGAATAAATAGAATTTGCAATCCTCCTGCCTCAGCTTCCTGAGCTGCTGGGATTACAGGTATGCACCACCTCACTTGGCTCCAATTGAAATCTTTAAGATTTCAAACCTACTCTAAAATGTAGAGTACATCTATGAAGTAGTCTTGCCTGAAAAAAATGGAATCTGAGCTGAGCACGGTGGCACACCCCTGTAATCCCAGCAGCTTGCAAGGCTGAGACAGGAAGATCACAAGTTCAAAGTCAGTCTTAGCAATGGTGAGGCGCTAAGCAACTCAGTGCAACTCTGTCTCTAAATAAAATATAAATTAAGACTGGGGATGTGGCTCAGTGGTTGAGTGCCCCTGAGTTCAATACCCAGTACCAAAAAAAAAAAAAAAAAAAAAAAAAAGAAGAAGAAGAAGAATCTGAATCTAATCCTTTACATTTGTTTTAACACAGTAGTCATTCAATATTAAAATTAATGAACATGAAATAAAATTGAAAATTCAGTTACACTAGTTGCATTTCAAGTGTTGATACCACATGTGGTTTCCATGCAGAAAGCACAGATATAAAACATGTTTATCAGCACAGAAGATTGAATGATAGGGCAGCGTCACAGCTTTATCTAACCATTTCCAAGAAATATAGAAATTTGAGAAATCTATTAAATACTACCACAAGGATAAACTAATCCAAATATAGAATGTAGAAATTTCTTTTTTTAAATATATATATATATATATATATATATATATAAACTATATATATATAGTTTATTTAATAAATAAATGTAGTTCAAAATATAGTGCCAGGGTATTATGCAGGTGAACATGCTGGTAATATTTGTTATGAAGCACCGTGCTCATGTTAGATTGGTGGCACCCCACTATTGCTAGTGGTTCCTGGGATTAGTGCCAGAGCAGCACTAATTATCTGCTCTTCTGCACAGCAAGTGCAGAAAATTCTTGAACAGTTCACCTTCCTAATCCTACCTTCCCCAACATATACATCAGGTTAAAAAAAAAACAAAACCCTGATAGCTAACAGATACCTATACACAATCACTTTACAGTTATGGCTTATTATTAAATTAAAATGTAATGACTTGGTTAACACCCTCTAAAACTTCTAAGATTGAGAACTACATCAGCAGCCGGTAGTTATATGCATGAACCAATGTTTATACAATATAGAAGTAGAGGCATTCAGTGATTGAAACTCCACACAGACCTGCACAATGAGAGGCTAGAGATGCCCATAGCAAGCCTCACAACTCAAGTCCATACCTAGTAAATGACCAGCTGAATGGACAACCTGTAGAATGTGGAAATTAAAAAAAATTGTTTTTGTATTTTTAGTTGTTGATGGACCTTTATTTTATTTATTTATACGCAGTGTCGAGATTTGAACCCAGGGTCTCACACATGCCCGGCAAATGCTCTACCACTGAGCCACAACCCCAGCCCCTGAATGTGGAGATTTTTATGAAAAAAATGGCCCAGTTTTAAAAACAAGTAAATGGTATGAAAAAAAAGGGAGAGGGAGAAATAGTTGTAGATTTAAAAAGATTTGAGAAAAATGAGTGCTCAGTGGTAGAGTGCTTGTCCAGCTTGCTTGAGGCCTTGGGTTCCATCCCTAGCACTGAAAAAAAAAAAAAAAGATTTGAGACAAATGAATTGAATGCACTGTGTGGACTTCCACTGAATCTTGACTTTGAATTAACTGTGAAAGAGACATTTTTTGAGACAAATCAGTTAAACAGCACATTCAAGTTATAAGTATGAACTTTATGCCTTGAACAAAAACCTTGGGAGTCCATCATTTTGGACAGAGCGCCTACACTAGGCCCCAACTGAGCAGACCAAATCAAAATGGAGTCACTCATACTAAATGCCACATAATCAGATTGAAAGTTTAAGGAGGTAGACAGATCCCCAATAGATTCCAGTTTACTTGAATCAGCACAAGAAAGAAGTCCCCTCTGCTWTAACCTTTACCAAAAAGGAACCTGATATTAACCAATTCAGCTTTTTATTTATTTTTTCTTGTTCTCATGTGACAAAACCCAATGTTCTGCCTTGGCCCCAGTTCTATCCTATACAACTGGAGGCTGCTTAGTTCATGAATAGAAAACAAAAGCCAATTAGATCCAGAACTAAATTGTTATAATTCTGTCTTTTGACAAACTTGTCCATATGTGGTCAGGGAGAGAACTCAACTAAAACGAGGAAAGAGTTTATATTTCTTTTTTTTTTCTTTTTTCTTTTTTTTAAGAGAGAGTGAGAGAGGGAGAGAGAGAAAGAGAGCGAGAGAATTTTAATATTTATTTTTTAGTTATTGGAGGACACAACATCTTTGTTKGTATGTGGTGCTGAGAATCAAACCCGGGCCTCACGCATGCCAGGCGAGCGCGCTACCGCTTGAGCCACATCCCCAGCCCTAAGAGTTTATATTTCTGACTCAAAGGAATAAAAACAAAGCTGTGGCTTTATCTCAGTGACGTTGGGATTTGCTGTGGGAGAGCAGAGCTTCAAAGCACAGGTAGCCACCCCATACCAACTCRGTCCTGGGCTCTGCCAGGGTGGAGGTGGGGCATTGGGAGTAAAAGGCCTGTGAAGTCTTCAACTTCCTGGCCTTGTGCTGCCGTTCCTCGATCTCCTCTTCCAGGGAGTCTCCCTGGCATGCCCTATTGCCCTGCCCCATTCCATCCCGAAGGGCCTTCCTGGTCTTCCCTTTGCACAGCCCTGAAGGCAGCCCACTCTGGGACACTGGTGCTGAGACTTGCAGGGTAGGGAASAGGTTGCCAGGCAGAGTCAGGAGATGGTTCCTGGCAGAGGGCACAGTATGGGCCAGGGCTCTGAGCCCAGCTGGAGCTGGGGTGAACTGGAACAGAAAGGGAAACTGGAGCCTAGAGGTCAAAGAGGAGGTTGGAAGAAAGTATAGATGAAAGATCAGCAGGAGCAATAGAACCTTAAGGCCTCTACAAGGAGTTTGTGTTTGCAGGGCCACAGGAAGCCATTGCAGACTTTTAAGGCAGGAGTGGCTACTGTCCCTGTTTCCCAGTGCATATGGTAAGCCCCACCTGTCTTTCAGAAGTGTTGACCCTATTACTCACACACATCGTTGACCTGGCAAAGTCTTCAGGGGCCACCTTAAGTCCACTCCACCTTAAACAGGCTCCACCCCCCAGCACAGCCAATGGGCTGAGTAGGGGTGACCAGCTGCCACCTGCCCTCACCCCCATGGTGCTCAAACTGACTGCAGTTCCAGCTATGGCCTCACTGCTCCGGGCTGCAGCCCCGGGACTCTTCTCCTGGAGGGGGTACTGCTCCAGAGGGTTGCAGGTTGGTGGGGCCAGGAGCTGGGAGGGATCCTTGCCTAAAGTATCCCAAGCTCTGTGCTGCCATCGGGCACCCTCACTAGCCCACACCCCTCCCTCCTGCCCTGGGGCAGGGAGAGGGTGCGGTGGCCCCCAGTTCTCTTTCTGGCGCCCCTGGCACTGTGATTCTTCCCTGAAGGGCGAGCTCAGCAAGGGCTTCGTGGAGTCTCTAAAGGCTATTGTGGGGAGCCCCCACGTGTCCACTGCTGTTGCTGTTCGAGAGCATCACGGGCAGGATGAGTCCATACACAGGTATTGGGAACCCTGGCTAGGAATGGGATCCCTGGTCGTCCTCGTCCCCACTCACCTGTTTTGGTGTGCTGTGGCACTCTCTATGGAGGGCTGCTCTCTGCCTCTTGTTTGCTGTGTGGCCTCAGGCCTTGTGACATCTCCAGGCTCCTTGAGAAGCGGGGCCAGAGGGTGCCACTAGCTTCTCACCCGCTGAGGCCTGTTTCTAGGTGTCAACCTCCAGATGCGGTGGTGTGGCCCCAGAATGTGGACCAGGTCAGCCGGCTGGCAGCTCTCTGCTATGGCCAAGGTGTGCCCATCATCCCCTTCGGCACAGGCACCGGCCTCGAGGGGGGAGTCTGCGCTGTGCAGGTATAGCAGGGTGCCTCAGGTCTACTTCACCACACTGGGCATGTTTGTGGCCATTCCTACATGCCATTCTGGGACTCTGGTCTGGCTGCTGGGGTTCAGCCGTGGGGTAGAATCCTGGGGTCTGCCCAGCCCAGAGACTTAGGTCAGTTGGCCTTCTTTGCACCCCTGCTCCCAGGGTGGTGTGTGCATTAACCTGACCCACATGGACCGGATCACGGAACTGAACACAGAAGACTTCTCTGTGGTAGTGGAGCCTGGTGTCACCCGTAAAGCTCTCAATGCCCACCTGCGCAACAGTGGCCTCTGGTTTACTGTGGGTAAGCTTGGGGCTCCTGCACCTTTCCCAGGGTCCTGGGGGTTTGCAGGGGGCTGGGCTGTTTATGGGGCTTCAGAGGACCCTGCTCTCCCCATCTGCCCAGGGTGGGGGAAAGGGCCTTCGGCTTGCCCTCTCCTGCTTTCTGCCCTCCAGACCCAGGTGCAGACGCCTCTATCTGTGGCATGGTGGCCACTGGGGCTTCAGGCACCAACTCTGTGCGCTATGGCACCATTCGGGACAATGTGGTCAATCTGGAGGTGGTGTTGCCTGATGGGCGGCTGCTTCACACGGCGGGCCAGGGCCGTCATTTCAGGTGAATGTCCTCTGCCCTTGGCCTGAGGCTTCAGTGAGTGCTGATGGGGCCTCTAGAAGCCCTCCTGGATCAATGAGTGGCTAGAGAGGGCTGTCATGTGGGCCAGCAGATGGCCAGCATGCTGGGGTTTGCTCTCCTGCATAAGGCTGATAGAGGTTGAGCAGTGGCAAGTACTGTAATGGGAACTGGGGATGCGGAAGGCCAGCCCAGACTTGGGGGCCTAAGGGATAGTGTCCTGGGCCCCACCTTCAGATTTCTGGGCAGAAATCCCTCATTGCACGGTCTGGACACTCACCTACCTTATGTGTTCCTTATGTGTCTGGACACTCACCTACCTTATGGGGCCCAGGAAGAGTGCAGCTGGCTACAACCTCACAGGACTCTTTGTGGGCTCTGAGGGGACACTGGGCCTCATCACATCTGCCACCCTGCGCTTGCACCCTGTCCCCGAAGCCACAGTGGCTGCCACCTGTGCATTCCCCAGTGTCCAGGCGGCTGTGGACAGCACTGTACAGATCCTCCAAGCTGCAGTGCCTGTGGCCCGCATTGGTGAGCCAAGGACTGGTGCAGTTGGGGTGGGCTGCACAGAAGAGGCCCCCTTGGAAGGCCAAGCCTCACTGGGCATCCCTCTTCCTGGTCCCAGAGTTCTTAGATGACGTCACAATGGACGCCTGCAATAGGCACAGCAAGCTGAGCTGTGCTGTGGCGCCCACACTCTTCCTTGAGTTCCACGGTTCCGAGCAGGCACTGGCAGAGCAGGTGCAGCACACAGGTGTGTTGAGGGTGGGACAGCAGAGCCTAGGCTGCCCTAGTCTAGGGCCTGGGTCAACTTTTTCCTACTGCAGAGGCGATCACCCAGCAAAATGGAGCCTCTCACTTCTCCTGGGCCAAAGAGAGTGAAGAGCGCAACCAGCTTTGGGCAGCCCGGCACAATGCTTGGTATGCACTCCTAGCCCTGTCTCCAGGCTGCAAGGTGAGCTGGGATGGGGATGGAGGTGGAATCCACTGTTCAGCCCACAAATCCTTCCCTCAACCCACTATCAGACTGTTGGAAACAGCAGGCTCAAGTGGCTGGGTGGGCACTAGAAGCTGGGGTTATAGACCCTCTCGCCAAACTGTTTCTCAGAGGCTGTCTAGTGTCCAATCACACTAGGGAGCCCTTCCTGCAACCAYGCATGCTCTTGGGAGTTTTGAACATAGAGGGAAGATCTACCCAGAAGGGGAAGCTGGGCTCTAGGCAGAGCAAGCAGAGGCTCAGTAGTGCAGGGGAAAAGGGGACCTGCACAAAGCCAAGGGTGGAAAACCAGGGCAGTGGTGAAGGTCTGGGCTGGCAAGACCTGGGGAACACAATCTGGTACAACTGTCTAGAGAACAGCAAGCCGTTTCCTTCTGTGAAGTCAAATCCCCTCAGACTTGATCATAGTGACCTTTAGCTTTAGGCAGACAGATGGGGATGGGGAGAGCCTCACCAGTCTGCCCTCTGACCCAGGGCTATTCCACTGACGTGTGTGTGCCCATCTCCCGGTTGCCGGAGATCCTGGTGCAGACCAAGGAGGAACTGAAGACCTCGGGACTTCAAGGTTCTGCCTACTCACCTGGAGTGAGGTGGGGAGGCACTGAGGCCCACCAGTGCCTGGGCCAAGGGCAGGGGAGGCTGGAGGCAACAGCTTAGTCCTCTGGGTCCACAGGAGGCATTGTTGGGCATGTGGGTGATGGCAATTTCCACTGCATCTTGCTGGTCAACCCAGATGATGATGAGGAGCACCACAGGGTCAGAGCCTTCACAAAAAAGCTGGGCAGGTAAGAGTTGAACCTGAGATAGGCTGGGTGGGGGAGGGCAGAGGAAGTGGGAGAGGAGTCCACTGAGGTATTCCTTCTCATGATATCCCAGGCGGGCACTGGCACTCCACGGGACGTGTACTGGGGAGCATGGCATTGGGCTGGGCAAGCGGCAGCTACTGCAGGAGGAGATTGGTGCTGTCGGCATGGAGACCATGCGGCAGCTCAAGGTCATGCTGGACCCCCGAAGCCTCATGAACCCAGGCAAGGTGCTGTGAGGAGCTCTGAATACTTAGCTACCCTGCAAAGGATGGACAATGCAGATGCTGTTTCTGCCTGCCAGTTAGCCCTCTGTAGCTGGGGCCTAGGGTTCAAGCCAGGAGAGAAGGCGGGCTCCCTCTCTGGCCCTCTTGCTGTCTTCAAAAGCCTTTGGTCCAGTAAATGACCCAGCGTGGTTCCTGGTGAAGCTGCTTTCTATCTGATCTCACATACCCTGTACTGGCTGGGGGAGATGGTGTGGGGCCCACCCCAAGACTAAGATCATATCCCTGTCAAGGTCTCCCCACTGCTGACGCCCAGGACCCTTTATCAACCCTTCATCTACTTGGGTTGATAGGCATGCTCCTTTCCTGAAAGGGGAGGGGCCTCCCAAATGAATCTGAACCCCATTTATAGCTGTCTGGAGATCAGCAGGCAACACTTCCCATATACACCCTCTCTTCCTCTAGATAGTGACCCATTTGTCTGGGGCCTGTCCTCTGATTTATGGAACCCTGGGGAAAAGGATGGTGCTCAGACTTTGGAAGGAAGCAGGTCCCTGTTCCAACTTCTCTGCTTCTGAGAACCTTGGACCTACCCACAGTGGAGGTCCACTAGGCTCCAGCTGGGCCTTAGAACTCTGAACACATTCTTCAAGCAGCTGCTACCAATTGTTAGAAATGGGAGTGAGATTATCATTGCACCACACTGCTCCATGGTATACACTCCAAATCAAGGTCATCCTACCCTGAGGCCTGCCTGTCTTGGGATCCCTAGCCAGGGCCCCTAAGGTCCTTAGCAGTTGTTCTCCCAAAGCCCACTAGAGGGTGCCCGACACCAGTAAACTCAAGACACCACAGCAGCTGCGGCCCAGGACTCTTCTGTCCAGGGCCTGAAACTTTTAGCCCTGGGCCACCCACCTCCCAGGGCTGTGGAGCGATCTGGCAGGCAATCTGTAAACCCTCCACTCACTGTAGGTCCCAGGAACCTGTAGTGCCACTTATCTCCCTCACTCCCAGGTCTTTGGCCCTCTTAGCAAAGGGGCTGGGTGAGGGATGCTGGGAGCCAGTGCAGGGAAACAGCACCCTTCTGTTCACATCATGCTTTTCCCTCAACCCTCTCAGTCCCTAACCAAGCCTTCCATGGGGGGCGGGGGGCACTCTGCAACTCCCTCTTGCCCACCCTCCATTCTTGGGATCCCTACTTTGTGCTAACACTGGGCTGTAGCAGACAGCAGTAACACTGACCTGGGTTTGAGGACACACTGGCGTTTCTGTTTCTGGCTGGGAACAGAGATTATGCCAAGGATGGTTTGGTGGCAAGTCCCCTGGGCCCTCCCCCGACACCACCCAGTATGCAAGCAATCCAACCATCAGCTCACCATGGAAACAGCTCCCCAGCCCTTCCCCCTCCCCTTCTGAACAGACTGCAGGGCCCTCCCACAGCCCTCCCAGGTGTTGTGCAGTGGCCAGTCTTGGCTGCAGCTCTTTGATGTTGCCCCCTGGGTCTGGTGACTAGAAGGCACACAGCAAATGGCCAATTCCCCACAATTTTTTATTAAGAAAAATTCCAGACATACAGAAGAGTTGAAAGAACAAGTACACTGTTCAGTGATGAAATACCAGCCATTGAAGATTCAACAACAGACATTTTTGCCTTTTTTTTTTTTCCGGGGGGAACCATTTGGAATTACACATTTCTGAAAAAAATCATTCATCTGTATATAATTCAGCATCTACTTCCTAAGAATAAGGACATCCTCCTGTAAAGTTCAATACTATTAAAGGCTGTTAAGATGAAAGGTTTTCACAAGGGGCTCCTCTTTAGAAGCTGCCCCTTCCCACAAGCATGCTGGGTCCCCAGCAGAGAAGGGGCAATACAGGCTTCTGGAGAGCAGTCTGGACAGGAGGGTGACAAACACCAGCTCCACTTGGGAAGCCCCAACAACTTCAGTCCCACCTCCACACCAGATGCTGGCAACCTGGGTCTGAATTCAGAGCACTGTGCAGCCAGCAGAGGGCTGCAGTGTGCCAGGTGGGAGCGGAAGTCACTGGGGGTGGAGATGAGCACCAGCCCTGAGAGCCTGGAATAGTACCGGCGTGGGCCCCAGCCTTGCCCCACCCAACTCACAACCACTCAGCTCACATGGGGTGCTGCCAAAGCAGCCAGGCTCACACAGCCATGGTGGGCACACAAAGCTTCCATCTCCAAGTCCAAGGGTCAAGCAAGGAGATCTCCTTCAGGGCTAGGCCCTGCCCTGGCAGCTTTGCTGGTGGAATTAAATATAGAACAGGGAGACACAGTTGCCAGGCAGAGCAGGAGGTGCTGTGAATAGAACAGTGCCCTTTGCAGTGACAAAGTTATAAGGAAGCCTGCTGTGCATGTGCCAGGCCTTCAGGGTAGATCTCCTGACCCTCATGGCGACCTCAGAACTGCGTGATTTTGTCCCCACTTCATACAAGGGAATTTGAAGTTCGGATGAATGGTGTCATTTCCCCAAGACCATTTTGCCAACTGGTAGGGAGCTCAAATGAGGACAGCCCATGTTATGGCCGTCAACTCCCACCCAAAGTGATTCCAATACGGACATCCAGGCTACAAATCAAACTCTTCTTCAGTTCTGAGCATGCCCACTGGCCTGCAATAAATATCCTTACAGATTTGGTGCTTCAGGAAGCATCTGAGGGCAGGTGACTTCAGCTGGGCCCCAGTACCAGCGCAGTCCAGGCTCCTGGGCCTGGTGGGCTTAGGCCCTGAGGCAACAGCACAAGGGCAGGCCTGGGAAGGAACAGGGCACAGAAGGTTCGGAATTGGCTCTCTCTAGAGCTTTCCTTGGCTGGCTCTTCAGGAAGCCCTGGAATGCAGCTCCTGGAGCCTGGCACAAAGACAGAGGCTGGGCATGCACTGCTGCCCCCTGCCCTGAGGTCCTGCCCAGCCTGTAATTTGCCAACTTTTGTGAGCCTGAGTGGTTGGTTCTGGTTCAAGGGCTCTAAGCTGGCTCAGTCCCAAATCAGGGCCTCTTCCTGGGCCTCAATGAAGCATGCCCATGAGTCAGCACTAAGATGTGGATAGAGCAACAGGCAAGCAGAACATGGGACTGGGAGCAGGTGCTGTGATGGAGGGGCTGGGGTAGTACCTGGAGTAACCCACATCCTTACAGACTCCAGTGGCTGCAAGATCTTTGCCCCTGCAGATCTTTCCAGAAAAGTTTGGTTATAACCACTCCATTCCACAGATGACGGCAGATTGGTTCCACGATGCTTACAAGGGTTAGCAGACTTGTAGGATGCACACCTGAATCACCACTTCCCCTCTACCCAGGTACAGCTGTCTGAGAACCATGGCACATTCACAGTGCTGCACAGTCGGCTGAAGGAACACTAAGGAGGTGGGTGAGGGGTGGGGTAGGCCTTGGCCCTCACTTCTTTATTGTATAACAATACTTCATTAAAATAACATCACACAGTTTATCTTTTATTAGACATTATTTTAATACCATATCAAACACCTTGACTGATGAAGAAAGCTTTTCTCCCAAGCTTTGAACATTTTTAAACATTTTATAAGTTTTTTTTTTTAAATATATAAATACAGAAACCTATCTTGCATGGGCTGATGCCATGTGTGAACATCAATGGCTAAATGTTCTCAGAGTGCCTGAAAACAGGGGTAGCAGGACATGTTTATTTAGTCTTTTGTTGATTTAGTTTTCTGGGGGAAAAAACCCACAAGGGCCTAAGAAAAATGTTCAGGCATTTTTGCAGGACACTTGTGGTTGTTAAATCCTCTGAACTGACCAGAACCAGGAGGAAAGAAGGGGGAAGACATGGGAGAAGAGGTGGAAAAAAGTCCTTGATGGGTGTATTTTTTTTTTTTTTTGCCAGGGGGTGGGGGGCAATGAAACCAAGATATTAGGGTCCCTTGGGGAGAAAAGTGCAAAACCAAGCCAGAAAAATGGGAGGAAGAAACAAAACAAAAGCAACCCAACCCCTAGATAGAGGCTGGTGACACGGAGAGCTGACTGGGTGCTGGGTGAAGGAAGAGAAGGTGTGTGCCCGCCCGCCGTCAGAGCATTAGTGGCAAGGACGCGGCCACATTTGGTTCTGTCGCTGAGTGGGTTATAGCTAATCTGTAAACATCACGAGGGAAAACACCAGTCGACACTAGACTTTTTTTTTTATATATAATTTTTTTTTTTTTGTAAACACTTTAAAGACAGACCCACAATGCCTTTCAAAGGTGAAAAAGAAAATGCCCTTTCCCTCCTGGGCTGAGGGGGGAGGGGAAGGATAGCTGTGATTTCACTCTTCTCTCCAACTCGCTCTCATCCAATCTGGTGTCCTCAGGGAAGAGGGAGAACCGTTTTCTGGAAGTCAGTGCAGAAGAGGTGCCCTGTTCCCACTGGTGTCCCAAACTCAGCTCTGCCCCAGTGTCCGATGAGCCTCCTCTCAGGAACAGGGCTGTCTGTCCCTGTGTGGATCGGAGTAAGTCAGCCGTGCTCCGTCTGGCTGAGGGCTGGCTGCTGCATCCCACAGTGGCAGCAGGTGTCCTGCTGAGAGCAGGCTGGCCAGGGCGTCTGTGGTTCCATCCAGGTGSCCCCCCCCCCCCAAGCCAAACATCATGCCGGGAATCTGGACCCACGCCGCAGGGCCAGGCACACTCCCTCTGCCTCACTCTCACCCTTGCTTTTTCTTCTCCCCTTGCCATCAGTTTTGAGGTGAAGGTAAAAGAGCAAATGTCCCTGATTTGTCTGACATCATCAGCTGTTCTGGGCATTTACTTGGAATAAATAAAATAAACCTAACAAAAGAAAACAAAACAAAGGAGAGAGAGAGAAGAAAGAAAAGAGGCCCCCAACCTTTGGATATGAGTGAGATGAAGTAGAGTTGAGTGTTTTTTTCTGGGGATTTTGTCTATTTGTTTGCCAGAAAAAAGAAAGCGCCAGCCCAGAACTCAGAAGGGACAGTGGGGTGGGGGACAGAAGAGGGTGTCAACATGAAGCTGGGTGCCCTGGGGAAGAAATGGAGAGGACAGACTCAATGGTTACACTGGGAGACACATGTGCACACATGGGAGGGAGATGAGGTGCTAGCCTGTTGCAATCAGGACCCTGTGCTGTGGGACAGAGGGGCCAAGTCTCTGGAAGTGGGTGAGGGAGGTGGCCTGCAAGTGGAAGAACCAGTAGTGAAATGCCCACTGAAAGCGCTCTGCAGTGGACTATGCGCTGTCCACAGGCTGTCTAACTCTGAGTGCATGTCCATAAGGCCACAGAGAGTCATTCTTCCCATCACCAAAGAAGTGGAGACACAGGTGAGTGAGGACAAGGTGCCACCGGCTGCAAACCCGAGCTTATCCACTTCTGCCTGAGTATGTTCCCAGAGGATCTTTCAGAACTTTCCTCAGGGAGATTCACCCTGGACATCCGGAATATGCTAATCTTTCCCCAACTAATTCTACCTCTTCTGAGTATGTTCTTCATGAACATGTGCACCTGAGTGTGCATCCCTTATGTTTCTTAGGAAAAATCTCTTCCATTAACTACTTACAGATGAAGCACCTCAGTTCCCCCACCACCAGGCCCCCAGTGACACAACCCTGAGCCTGGAGCACCTCCAAGCACGGGCTCACCTTTGAGAGGATTCGGCAAGCAAGCCCGACAGGGTCAGTCCGCAGGGTGTTCTGGACAAGATCTGTTCACTTCAAACCACGAGTCTATGCAGCTGAGGACAGTGGGGGAGGGAGGAACAGCAAGGGGAAACCATGTTAGCTGTTAAAACACACAGTCTTGGCAAAGGTGGCTCTTTCAGGGGTCAGACTACTAAACAAAGGTTCCCTAAATCTCTCCTGGAAGAACCCCAGGAAAAAAATCATGTACCCACTGCTTAAAGCAAGAAGGGAGGACATCAGGATTGGTTTTGGTTCAGCAGTGTTGGCAGTGGTGTGCAGGCTCAGGGAGACCTGGCGTTACAGGAAGACCTGGCGTTACAGGAAGACCTGGCGTTATAGGAAGGGAGGGGACCAAGGCCAAATGAAGGGTCAGAGGAAGATGGCAACAGCTATTGGTGAAAAGGTGAAGGGGGGGGGTTCAGGGACTGTCAGGGTGGCTAGTCAACTACCTCTAAGGCTTGAGGTGCAGGGAGTAGGAATAAAGACAGGGCAGGACTGGCAAGTGCTCCTGCTTCTGGGGTCCTGATAGAGCACCCTCCTGGGTTAAAGGAGCCGTGAGGCTCTTCCCCAGTGGATACCTTCTCAGAAGACTCCTGAGATCTACCTGATTTGGTTGCAAAGGTGGAAAGAGGATCTGGACCCTCAGGCTATGGTGACTAAGAAAGTGAGCCAGGGAGGGGGCTTTTAGTTTACAAAGAACAACTGCCCCAAAACAGGGTCCCGATTTGTAAACCAACCTGGGCTTTCTCAAAGACAGAAACCAGATGGATAATGTGCACAAGACTCCCCCAGGACAGGGGTTGTCTTTTCTGGTTCTGGTTAGTTCTTCCCTGGGACATTGCAGGGCTCTGTGCTGAGACCCAGACCATGAATCATAATTATCCCCTATGCCAACCATAAGCCTCTGCATCAGTCACATCCACGTATCAGGCATAGTGGTCACACTAGACTAGTGGCCCCAGGCTGGGCTTAGAGAAGCCTGTGTGCCAAGAAGCAGCTCTGGGTTTGAGGAGTAGAGAGCAGGTGGTGGCCACAGGAACACAGGGCATCCTCTCTTCTTGGGCAAGAAGGTATCCTTTTTCCACTTGGAAACAAGAATAAGGCTCCTGCTGAAGCCTGAGGATGAATCTTGGCCCTGCTAATTATAGCAGCTGTTGGTGCCCACAGATTGGTGCCCATGGCTGTGGCTCTTTCTGCCTCCTGGCCCTCTGGGGAGAAGGGCAAGCACAGGGCAGCAAGGACACCCTCCATGCTGCCTCTCTCACCCTGTGGTATGGAGAGGTCTACACAGAAAGAAGAGGCTCAGGGAGACAGATGAGAGTCAAGTTCTAGGTAGGATCCTAAGTACCTCCAACCTTTGCAGCTCCCTACCTGCTCCCACCATCTGAGCCATTAAAACAGAGCTGAACCTCAGGCAATTCTAGTACTTTGTATCCCTATAACCTTCCCATTAACACAGTGACACTGGAGGGGTCCTTGGTGGGAGGAGATATCCCACAAAGGGGACAGACAGAATGGCTGGTGATGAGGGTCTGCTTGGTGGGATGTGGGGCATGCTGAGCTGCTCCTGCCGGGCCCTTGTACCTTTTATGATAGATGCACAGGCAGGGCAGCCTGGCTATCGTGTCCCCCTGAAGCAGCTCCTCCAGGCAGATTACACACTCACCCGCATCTTTAGTCAGCACATCATCTGCAAGGGGGACAGGAAGGGCAAGGGGTTAGTCACCAGTGGGTGGGTGGCACAAAGCAACTAGCTGGGTGGTCTAGCAACTAGCCCGGTAACCCAAACTGCCAGGCTCTGTGGGTACACAAACTTGAGCAGCAGAACCCTGTCATCGAGACCCTCACTATGGAGACAAAACATGTCCACATGTTAAATATCTGAAAACAAACAGGAGTTAATCCTAAAGTGAAATTAACCTAAGGTCCAGGAGGACCCCAAAAATAAATAAATAAATAAATAAATAAATAAATAAATAATAAAAAGGGGAGCTAGGGATATAGCTAAGTTGGTAGAGTGCTTGCCTTGCATGCACAAGGCCCTGGGTTCAATCCCCAGCACCACAAAAAACAAAACAAAACAAAACAACAATAACAACAACAAAAAACGCTTGGAGAGTGCTAGATGCAGCAAAGACAGGATGAGGCAGCCTTCTCCATTAATACACTCCCTCCCCACACACTTACTCCAAGGGTGCTGATTTCTGGTTTAGAAAAACAGCACTTGGGAGGGTGCTCAAGGCAAGAGTGAGTGGAGGACGAGGTGCTCCAGCAAACACCTGTCCATGAATGTTCACAGCTGTGACTCCCAATACCCAAAGGTGAAAACAGCCCATGTCCACCAGCTGATGAATGGAGAAACTGAAGAGTATACCATACATAGATACTCCTCCAAGAAAAGGAAGGAAGAACTGATACATGCCACAATGTGAACGAACCTTGAAAATATGCTGAGAGAAGACAAACACAAAGGCCACCCATTGCATGATAGCATTTACGAAATGTCCAGAATAGATAAAAGGTAGACCGGGGCTGGGGGCAAAGAAATGAGGAACCAATGCTTAATGGGTAAGGGGTTTTCTTTGCTCCTTTAAAATTTTTCTGTTTAATTGTGGTAAGAACACTTAGTATGAGAATCAACCCATTTAACAAATTTTTTCCTTGTAACAATTTTTAATGTGCAATACAGTATCATCAATTATGAGCACAATGTTGTACAGCAGATCTCTAGGATGGATTGTCTTGCACAGCTGAAGCTTTATGCTCACAGCACAGCAACTCCCTACCTCTTCCTCCTCCAGCCTTGGCAACCACAGTCCGCCCTCCAGTTCCATTAATCTGACTACTTTACAGACCTCAGAAGTGGAATCAAGCTAGAGCCAGACAGAGATTGTAGTTGCACAACACTGTGTGTCTTAAATGCCATTCAACTGTACATTTCAAATGGTCAATCCTCTGCCCCCTTTTAAATTTTTTTTTAAGTTATAGATGGGCAAAATACCTTTATTTTTGAAATTTATTTTCATGTGGTGCTGAGGATCAAACCCAGTGCCTCACACGTTAGGCAAGCGCTCTACCACTGAGCCACAAACTCAGCCCATCATGTGAATTTCACCTCCATTTTAAATAAAAGAAAAAGAAAAAAAAAAGAAGACCATGCTTCCC